ACTATCCCAGCCTGTTCAATCTCTCCCTACACATCAAACCTTCTAACCCTCACAACATCCTTGTAAATCTTTTCAGAACCTTTTCAAGTTTCATAACATCCTTCCTACAGCGGGGAGACCAAAATTGCCTGCAGTATTCCAAAAATGGCCTAACTAGTGCCCTGTACAGTTTCAACATGGCATCCCAACTCCTATACTCCATGCACTGACCAATAAGGGCAAATATACCAAATGCTTTCTTCACTATTCTGAAGACCTGGGATTCCACTTTCAAGGAGCTATGAACTTGCACTCCAAGGTCTCTCTTTTTTTCAGCAACACTCCCAAGGACTTTACCATTAAATGTATAAGTCCTGCTCTGATATGCCTTTCCAAAAAGCAGCACCTCACATTTATCTAAGTTAAACTCCATCTGCCACTCCTCAGTCCATCAGCCCATCTGATCAAGGTTCCTTTGTACTGAGATAACTTTCTTGGCTGTTCACTGCACCGCCAATTTTAGTGTCATCTGCAAACTTACATACCTCCTACGTTCACATCCAAATCATTTATATAAATGACAAAAAAACAGTGGACCCAGCACCAATCCTTGTGGTACATGTTGGTCACAGGCCTCCAGTCTGAAATGCAACCCTCCACCACCACCATCTGTCCCCTACCTTTGAGCCAGTTCTGTATCCAAATGGTTAGTTCTCCTTGTATTCCATGTGATCTAACCTTGCTAACCAGTCTACCATGTGGAAACTTGTCGAACGCCTTACTGAAGTCCACATGTCCACCGCTCTGCCTTCTTCAATCTTCTTTGTTACTGCTTCAAAAAACTCAAAACACAAAGTATTTGTCTTTGTAAATTTATTTTAATAAACAGGTATTGCTCTTGCTAAGTCAAATTTACATCATTTTAACATATAACCTTATGTGTTCTGAGCATTTCACTTTAGAAACTCTCTCTTGTGTTATTTAATAATTGCTAAGGTGAAAACCCAGGACAAATTTGTAGTGTAAGGAATGAAGGTAACAGGTAATCAAGATGTTTTGATGACAATCCAAATGAATAAGAGAGAAAATCTCTACCAAAATGTCTTCAGTTTGACCCAGTGTTTTCTGAGTTGGCCACGGTGGCCTGGGTGCCCTACACTGAAGGGCACCGAACATATGTTAACTAAAAGACTGAATTTAACTTGGGATATCGAAGGTAAAATTATCCAGAAATTGCAGCAATCACTACACCTGTAGCCCTAAGCGATAAAGTAGCTTCAGGAAAGGAAAATGAAAGAACAGTCAGATTGTCAGAACTGTTCGCAGAACTTTTAAATCTGCCATTGAATTCCCATTTCTAATGCCTAAAATAATTATTTAGACAAAATAACATTTGATATGTATTTTATAATAACCTGATTATCTTTTGGCAGAAGCATTAAAAATACAATTTGTATTTGAAGATCCTATTGATATTTCTCTATGTACACATCTGTCGAGTGCATTTAGCTGGAAGGGAAAAGAGATGAAAGGGACAAAAGTACTCCATACTAATATTTGTTCAATTTTCACGTGCTTAAACAATAGAATTTTGGAGTTTATAAATGATCTTCTTGTGTATTGCTGATGTTTGGTAAGGGTATACATGTATCTGAGCCAGATTGTTGTTTCAAAAAAAAATTTAGTATTGATAGAAGAAGTCAGGATTTTCAAAGCATTTCACCTTGCACTTATCACGACAGTGATATGAGAAACTAAAGTAGGAGAAAGAAAGACTAATATAAATATCCTGAAGAGGATGTTGATTGATTGGGCCCTTGTCAGCATGGATATGCAGCAGGAACAGTTAACTATCAGTTGTCTTTCTCACCCTTTTCAGGTTGACTCTAATTGGTCAGGACGTTGACATGGAGATTTCAGCAGAGATTGGCAGTCTCCATGATCCTTTTCTCACTGAAAATGCTGCAATGTACATCAGACAAAATTTTGTGCATTAGTATATATTGTTTTTAGAATGTACAAATACATCACATTGCAATCCTGACTGGTGACCTTAAATTGTATTTCTTAGAAACACTGCATTATTTAGTTAAGGGTCTAATGGCAGAATCACATCTAAGATTAACATCATGTCCTGAGGCTAGCAAACATATGTTTGAGCTCAATCGGCATGCTGCCACTGTGAATGGTCAATGGGACATGTTTGTATATTGTTCTGTACATTGCAGCTTTTTCATTAGGAAATAAGTTATGGAAGTTGCCAATCTTTGCTTCATTCCTAATGGGAATACTGACAGATCAGAGTCAACCTGTCTAGTATGAGAACAAAAATTGACAATTAACTGTTTTTGCTGCATCTCCATGCCAATATTAGCCCAATCAATCTGGATCAAAGAACAAAGAAAATTACAGCACAGGAACAGGCCCTTTGGCCCTCCAAGCTTGTGCCGATCCAGATCCATTACCTAAACCTGTCACCTATTTTCCAAGGACTGTATCCCTCTGCTCCCTGCCCATTCATGTATCTGTCTCGATCTTAAATGACGCTATCGTGCCTGCCTGTAACCACCTCCGCTGGCAACGCGCTCCAGGCACCCACCACCCTCTGTGTAAAGAACTTTCCACGCATATCTCCCTTAAACTTTTCCCCTCTCACCTTGAAATCGTGACCCCTAGTAATTGAAATTCTCTTCTCATGCTATATAAATTGGTGTTCCTTTTCCAAGTCTGGTTTCTTGCACTCTAGTTATGATGAGTGCAAGATGAAAAGCTTTGACTTTGTCCCTACTTTTTTGCAATGTTTAATTTCTGAACTACCAAGCAATTATTTAACATTTAAGACCTTGCACGAGAACTTTGTAGTTTGGCAAAGGCTGATGAAAGCTGTTTAAGCATTACATCTGAATTCCAGCTCAAAAGATAGAAGCACACGGTATTAAACAAATGATGGCAACTTGGGTATAAAATTGGCTAAGGAATATCAAGCATTGAGCTGAAGTACATGGATGTTTATCTGTCTGACATGATATACTCCGTGAGGTTCATTATTAAAACGCTTCCTTTCTTAGCTTTGACTTGAGTACAGGGAGTACAAATTTTAAATTTGCAGATGAAACAATTTTTGACAACGTATTAAATAGTGAGTAGAATAATAACAGGCTTAAGGATATAAACTCGTCAAGTGGGAGACACATAGCACATAATGTTTCCTAATGTTTCACTGCTTTGTGGGCAGTCAGTTTTTTTTAATGCGTGGTACCTTGATTTTTTCTTTTGTGTGGGCTACATGTGCAGTTTTGAAACAAGATGCAACGTCTATGTGCACACCACTCAAAGTACATGGTTGTGGGTTAATTCACTGCCCCCAATGGGCATGAAATTTCAATTACAGAGTGGGGGAAATCCAATCGTAGAAGAATTATCCCTTGCAATGTCCATAGGATGGATGCATTCTCTGAAGAGATGCTCCGCCAGTCATAGGCTCGTTTTGTCTCATATTTGCTGCTCATATTGTTCCTTATGATTTTAAGAATGAACAGAGAATTGGTGATTACTTCACATGGAAGGTAACTTATATCTGGAACGGAATACATGAAAGGGTGATCAGAACAGGAGTAGGCCATTCAGCCCTTAGATCCTGTTCCATTCATTATGATCATGGCTGATCATCAAAACAAAAATATGTCCCTACTTTTCCCCGTATCCCTCAGTCCCTTTAGCCCCTGTGCTATATTCAACTCCATGAAATCATACAGTATTTTGGCCTACAATATTTCTGTGCTTTATCACTCACTGAGTGAAGAAATTTCTCCTCCTCTCAGTCCTAAATAGTTTACGCTGTATCCACAGACTGTGACCCCCTTCTGGACTTCCCTGCTATCGGAACATCCTTCCTGCATCTACCCTATCTAGTCCTTAGAATTTTACAGGCTTCTGTGAGATCTCCCCTGATTCTTCTACAAAGAGGTCTATTCTACACCCATTGCCATTTCCTTATTTGAATGTAATTGTTTTCAAATTAAACAATTAACATACAAAAGCATTCAATATGTAAGTTTGGTAAGCAGAGGGGTTCACCAAATCAAGCAGAAAGTGAGGAGATCTGTGGTCTTTCATTACTGCACTATGGAGGGTTGAGTAACTTGTGTAACCATGGAACAAGGTGAGGAGAGAAAAGAGAAATTGGAAACTTAGAGTTGGGGGGTAACGATGGTCATGGAAAGGGAAAAAGGTGAGAGAAGAGAATATGGTAATAGTGAGAAAATGGAGTTGATTGGGATTAAAGAGATCAAGAAATGCAAAGGAACTGGGAAGAGGATCTCCTGAGTGCCATATATTCCTTCCAACCTCAATTCCGAGTGCAGCCTGCAGCTACTTGTGCCATCCCATACTATTTTCACATCACCCACAACTTCTCCAAAACAAGACAGAAAAGAGACCAGGATAAGATGATGGTTACAGAAATAGTAACATCAAGATAGGCAGACAATTGACTGTATTTTCTGAATTACCGTCTGCCTCATCCTCGATGATTAAATTGCAATTAATCCATAAAATAAATAAATGATTGATAAAATCATTAAATTTACATAATTTGCCATACAGTTAATCCAGTTAAATATTCAATCAACAGATTGTGAAAGAATACTCTTTCCTGGACTATATTATGGGTGGCTGTCAGATGAACTTCACTGTAAGTAAACTTTTGTTTTCAATTTTCAATGAGTTAATGTAGTATCAGTAGAGCTTGCAGTTACTTTTGGTAATGAATTGTCATGTTGAACAAGTAAGTAATACTTGTAGTATTTTTTGTGCATTGCTGATATGATTTGGATGGAGCTTTTCTAAAATGGTTTCAAAAAAAGCTGAAGTGCATAAAATGTCAGAAATGTGCAACAGATCACGCTGCATCCATGGAGAGATGGAGACAGGATTCAAGTTTCAGATCTGATTAACCATTGCCGGAAACATGTATGTTCAGTCTTTACTGTATTTTCCTCTCTAAATATCAACCAGATTTTTTACATGGTTACTTGTATAATTTGAAATTTGAAAAGTTGGTGAGGCTCCTTATGGTCGTGTGAAACTTACTAAGCTGCCTGAGGAAGAAGAGTGTTGTCGTGCCTTCTTGACCATTGTATGTATGTGGGAAGTTCAGGACAGATTGATGGTTATTGTCACTCCGAGGAGCTTGACACTCTGACCCTCTCCACCTCAGCTCTGTTGATATGGATAGGGGCGTGTCCTCCTCCTTTCTTCCTGAAGTCCATGATCAGTTCTTTTGTTTTACTGACATTGAGAGAAAGATCGTTATCATTGAACAACGACACCAAGCCCTCTACCTTCTTCCTGTATTATGACTCCTTGTTGTTTGTTATCCGTTCTACCATGGTGGTGTCGTCAGGAAACTTTTGGATGGTGTTTGTTCAGAATTTGGCTACACAGTCTTGTGTACAGGGAGCACAGTAGGGGACTGAGAACATATCCTTGCGGGTGTCAGTGTTGGGGGTTATCGTGGAGGAGGTGCTGTTGTCTATCTTTGCTGATTGTGGTCTATGGGTCAGGAAGCTGAGGATCCAGTTGCAGAGGGCAAAGCCAAGACCTAGGTCTCGGAGTTTTGAGATTAATCTGGTAGTGATTATGGTATTGAAGGCATGAGTAAGAGCCTGACATAGGTGTCCTTGTTATCCAGATATTTCAGAGATGTGTGTAGGGCTAGGGAAATGGCGTTCATCGTGGACCTGCTCCATCAGTAAGTAGGGATCGAGGCGGGCTGGGAGGCTAGAGTTAATGTGGGCCATGACTAGTCTCTCAAAGCACTTCACGATTATGGAGGTCAGAGCCATTGGGCGGTAGTCATTAAGGACGTTGCGTGTGTTTTCTTTGGTACTGGGATGATGGTGGTCTTTTTGAAGCAGGTGGGGGCCTTGACTTGTAGAAGAAATGAGAGGTTGAAGATGTCAGTGAATACATCTGCCAGCTGGTCCGCACACGATCTAAACAAACAAGCTGCTGCTCACGGCTGATCATCTTCAGCTCTCAGCTCACAGTTCACCGCTCCAAACAAAAACTGATAGAGATAATGAAGGTCTCAATAGTATTGAGAAATAATTTAGCACTTGGGAAAACAACAGAAGCAATTGGCAGAATGAAGTCCAGATGTGCTAAGACTGTGCCTCGTTTTAGTGTCAGGAGAGAATGGCGGAGGGAGAATTCCCTTTTAGGACTTTGACAAATACGTGGAGTGGTAGAGTTTAAGTGATCCTTAAATAATGAAGGCAACTTGCTAGCAGTGATTGACTGCATCGTGTTCTTCCACCTCCTAGTCATACTCTCTTTTTTTTCTTTTAATTCATTCAGGGGATGTGGGTGTCAATGGCTGGCCAGCATTTATCACTAGTTCCCCATGAAAAGGTGGTGGTGAGCTGCCGCCTTGAACTCATGTGGTCTATTTGTCGTAAGTACCTCCACAATGCCGTTAGGGAGGGAGTTCCAGGATTTTGACCCAGCAAGGAATGGCAGTATACTTCCAAGTCTGGATGGTGAGTTGCTTGGGTGGAGCACATTCGATGGTGGTGTTCCCATATATCTGCTGCCCTTGTTCTTCTAGGAAGTGGTCATTGGTTTGGAAGGTGCTGTTTAAATAGCCTTGGTGAATGTTGATGATACAGCTTGCTGCTGAGCTTCAGTGGTAGAGAGGCTGAATGTTTGCAGACATGGTGCCAATCAAATGGTCTGCTTTGTTCTGGATAATATTGTGTTGCCTGATGGTTTTTGCTGCTGCAGTCATCCAAACAAGTGGGGATTATTCCACCATACTCTTGACTTGTGCCTTGTAGATAGTGGAATAGGTGAGTTACTTGCTGCAGAAATCTTAGTCCCTGAACTGCTCCTGTACTTGTATGGTTCAGTTTCAATTTCTCGTCAATGGGAACCTCCCAGATGTTGACAGTGAAGGCTGCAGTGATGATAATGTCATTGAGTGCTTCAAGTCGTAGGCAGTGATTGAGATTCTCTTTTATTGGAGATGGTGATTGCCTGTCACCTTTTGCAGCATTAATGTAACTTACCACTTGTCAGTGCAAATTTGGATATTGTCCAGGCCTTGTTGCGTTTGGACGTGAACCGTTTCAGTACCTGAGGAATCGTGAATGGTGCTGAACTTTGACAATCGTAAGTGTACATCCCCACTTCTGACCTTATGATGGAGGAAGGTCACTGATAAATCGTCTGAAGATGTTTGGGCCTAGGACATTGCTATCTGAAGGCTTGGATCTTGTTGTTGTACAAGCTTGTGCAGATTCTAGCACAGTGACACCATTCTGAGGAACCTGACTGACTGGACAGAAGATACCTCCAGCCCTGTCCAAGCATCTATTATGTCTTCAGCAGGCTGATGATTTTCTCAATGGCACCTTCTCATGGCTTGCATTGGGTTGCTTCGCAACCTCATTGTTTGGATTCCTTGTGGGTGCCATCAACAACATTTTAAGTGGATGCCCTTTGTCTCTGAGCAACCAGTTGTTGTGTGTTTTCAAGCACCTATCAGAGAGAATGGAATACGATTAGAGGAAAGTATTCTAGCAGCTGTTCAAGAATCTTGAAGTAACTGGAATAAAGATTTGTTTTGGTTGCATGCCAGTGCTAAATTGAAGTGGAAGTCCTTGTAGTTGACAAATACCCTGGTTGATCTTGGGGCTGTTTTATTTGCCATGTATGAAGTCACTGATGCTATACAATTGTAAGAATCCAGTCAAAGTCATGACCCTGATCCTGAGCATCTCCTCATTCTGACTGGTGTCATCTGGGGAGGGGAGGGGATCTAATTTTCAGCCTGGCAAACAAGTCCTCAGCCATCCATCTGGTAAAAGAGCACTTTCTTTCAATATGATGCAAATGTCTGCCACTCACTTATCCAAAACACTGTTAATTGAACATCAATTGTCATTCACTACATTTAGGTGGAAGGCATTGATTTAAAGTATTACTTGAGCACATACAAAGAGATACTTACTGACACTGGGGTGGGGATTGGGTTGGGTTGTATATTCTTGCAATGTCCATTTAAATAAATCTAAACTGAATGAATATTGACTTTGGTTTTGTATTCAACTGCCTATCAGCAATTTTAACAACTTGACGCACCCGAGAAAGTGTATCTTGTATCTGTAGTTCTCTCTGATTCTGTGAGCAGCAGGCTGTTACTGTTCCAGCTCCAGGTGCTGGTCATAGTCTCTTGACCCTCGGAAGTCTACAGCAATGAGGTGCTGATCCAGTAGAACAGGGCTCCAAAATACAGATCAAAATTATAAAGCTGCACGTTATAAAACTAACCTTCCATCACAACTGATGTGAATAAGGGCTTTAGACTAAACGCAATACAGCAGCTGAGTTAGCAGTACCTATCCGATGTGCAGAGATAACAAGAACTGCAGATGCTGTAGTCAGAGTCAATACAATGTGGAACTGGACGAACACATCCTGGTGAAGGGTCCTGACCCAAAACGTTGACTGTCTTGCTCCTCTGATGCTGCCTGACCTGCTGTGTTCCTCCAGTTCCACATTGTGTTGACCTATCTGATGTGTGTTCTGCCTTCAGCCAAGCATGTATACTTGTTGGATGATGCCTACATTATCCCTTATAACATAACAGTGATGAGATGATGAGCACGTCCCTTGAAAGTATCCTGACTGAGACACGTAATAAAAAATTACTGGCATAATTCACTGCCATGTTTCCAGTGTCCTCAGTTTCTCATTCTTAAAAAAAAACTGGGAAACATATGCCTGCAATTGCAAAAGTGATGTAATGCAGCTTCTGTTATTGACAACCCATCTGACCCGAGGGAAGTGTAGCCTAATACACTGTAGTGAAATGTGGAAGTTGGCTGTTTGGAACAATGTTTCCAATGCATTCGGAGGTTTTTGTCAGGAATTGACCACTGTCTGCTTTTGTACACACAAACCTGCAAGCTTGCGCAGACATCAAAATTTTCCTGAATGTTTCAGGTCGCAGACCTGTCATCAGATTTCATGTGCTTGCAAAGTACACTGTCAATGTCTAGTGGTAAATGATCCATTATTTGAAGTTGAAGAATGTAAACCAGTCATTTTCTTTCATTTCCACTTAGAGATGAGCACCTTAGTTGAGGTCATGATTTTATAAACCAAAAAACAAAAGGAATAGCTCATGAAATGTAATAAAATGTTTTTATTTGCCTCTCTGAGCGATTACTGGAAATGGAGTGTAAACATTCACTAATTTTTTTTTGGTGTCTTCATTCTCAGGTTGGTATTGATTTCACAGGCTCTAATGGGGATCCTCGTTCACCTGACTCTTTACATTTTATAAATCCTAATGGATTTAATGAATATTTGATGGCGATCTGGTCTGTTGGAATGGTCATTCAAGACTACGATACGTAATGTATTCCTGTCTACTTTGTTAATGGCATTGTTGAGATAAAATAGGATACTGCAAATGAGAGGATTTCGGCCTGTGAACAAACTAATAAATGCACCCCGGGCACCTTTCCCTGCAACCGCAGGAGGTGCTACACCTCCCCTACACCTCCATCCCAGGCCCCAAGAAAACCTTCCACATTAAACAGATGTTCACCTGCACATCCGCCAATGTGGTCTATTGTATCCGCTGTTCCCGATGTGGCCTCCTCTACAGCGGGGAGACCAAGCGGAGACTCTGAGACCGCTTTGTGGAGCACCTACGCTTGGTTTGCGACAAACGACAACACCTCCCAGACACGAACCACTTCAACTCCTCCTCCCACTCCTTGGACGACATCTGGGCCTTCTCCAGTGTCACAACGTTGCCACCCAGAAACTGGAGGAACAGCACCTCATATTCTGCCTTGGAGCCCTACAACCCAATGATCTCAATGTGGACTTTACCAGCTTCAAAATCTCCCCAACCCCGACCTCATCCCAAGACCAGCACCCACCCTCTCATCCCCGCCTCCTTGACCTGTCCGTCTTCTCTCCCACGTATCCGCTCCTCCTACCTCACTGACCAACCCCCACCCCCACATCGTACCTACCCACACCTTTACTAGCTTCATCCCCACCTCCTTGACCTGTCCGTCTTCTATCCACATATCTGCTCCTCTAATCCACCTTCTATCATCATCTCCCCCTCTCTCTATTTATTTCAGAGCCCCCTTGCCCTCCCCCATTTCTAAAGAAGGGTCCAGACCCGAAACGTCAGCTTTCCTGTACCTCTGATGCTGCCTGGCCTGCTATGTTCCTTCAGCTTCACACCTTGTTGTCTCTGATAAATGCATGTGTTCTTTTACATGACTGAATTTTCATTAGTAGCTGTTGCCGTGTAACATTTCCTAAAGATACCAATGAAAATTGTTTTATTATTTGGTTAAAACATTTTTTACCTGAGATCTACATCTGCATACCTCTCAATCTTTACAAACAACTTGCAGCAACTTTGCGATATACCTTGTCATTTTCATCATTGCAGTAAATGACTATTGTGCTTTGAAATAGTTAAATACACAATGCATACAGGTTTATTACCTCCTTCCAGTCTATGCTGCAATTTCTACGATTGTGTGAAATAGAATATGCGTGTCGTCAACTGACAAACACCAATGTAATTAGAGAATGAGGTTGCTGATGTGTCAGCATATCAGATGTTGGTATGTGGTGAGAGACTGTTAAGAAGATAATCTTGTACCACCTGCTTTTGTAAGGGCTATGGCAGATCTACACCGTTCTTTACACACCTTTTATTTTGAATTGCTTTTTGTGACCCAACAATTTTGTTGGGCAGTACATCATTTTAAGTCACATTTTACTCGACTCAAATTTCTGGGTTTTTTTTTAAAAACAATATTTAAAAGAGACAGCAATCTAGTTACATCACCCTGATTTATTCTGATGTTTAAGTAATCTCAGAACTTGTCTAAAGTTAGTTAGACCTTCTTCTTAGGATGATCCTCAGAATTGAAAATGACATTCTCCCACTCTGGTGTGTTGGCCTTGAGGTGCCTAAGTAGTCAATGTTAAATCCACACACCCTGTTAGAGATGTGGCAGATAGTTGGAGAGGTGGCTGGGTGTGATGCTCTGGGCTTTTGTGCACACTCCTTCCAACGTTTACATTTAAAATCTATCTGGGCCTGTCAGCCACATTCAATAATTGGTACCTTTTTGGATATATCTTCTCTAGTCTGGATAATGTTGGGCTCTGGACTTCCGTGAATCAGTGGGGATGATGAGTTTTTTTTCAGAGAACCTTTAAGATAGACCTTGAAGGATTTCCTCTGCCTTCATCTTTACCATTTGCTAGTACAAAGCTCAAACTAGAGTTTGTCTTGTGTCAGGTATGTAGAAGATGTGGCATGGCCAACACTGCTGAATAACTATAAGCAGTGCCTCAGTAGTTGGAATGTTGGACTGAGAAAGGACACTGATTTTGGAGTATCTATCCTATCAGTGGATTTGCAGCATTTTGCGAAGTATCACTAGTGTCACATTTGAAGTATTTGTCATCAACTACTCTGTTGTACTTGAACTTTCAACACCAGAACTACGCTTTTCTCAAAGTCAGAGAATCAGAGTGCAAGACATGAGGGAAGGAATTCTCAGCACATTTTCCACAGTTTTGAATATATTTATGGCACTTGTCAAATAGGAGAAGTACTGTAATGCATTTCAACACTTAGACAAAGTTGGTCAATGTAACAGTCCTTTGCAGGACAGAGCAATAATCATCCATTAAAACCACATTCACATTACAATGCAGCTTGTAGTGATAAGATTTGAAGGTGTAAAAATATTGAACATTATTGATCAGACTGTTTTCAGCTCCTCGGGAGCCTTCAACCAGCAGGCTCAGCTCTGAGACATGATGTAATGAAAACCGAAAGAACTGCGGATGCTGTAAATCAGGAACAAAAACAAAGTTGCTGGGAAAGCTCAGCAGGTCTGGCAGCATCTGTGACGGAGAAAACCGAGTTAACGTTTCGGGTCCGGTGACCCTTTCTGAGGAAGGGTCACCGGACCCAAAACATTAACTCTGTTTTCTTCTCTAAGACATGACGACTGTTTTTCCCTTCCTCTGAAAAAAAAAAAGCCTGCATTAGCACAAAGAAAAAGTGAAGTCAAGGAACTTTGGTTGCGAATCATTTTAACTCCCTCTCCCACTCCCGGGTGACATGTCCATCCTGGGCCTCCTCCAGTGTCACAAAGACGCCACCCGCAAACTGGAGGAGCAGCACCTCCTATTCCGCCTCGGGAGCCTACAGCCCAATGGCCTAAACATGGATTTTACCAGTTTCAAAATCTCCCCCCCCCCCCCCCCCCCCCACCTCACGACCAACCCTTCCTCTCATCCCTGCCTCCTTGACCTGACACAACCTGTCCATCTCTCCCACCTATCCGTCCCTCCCACTTCACTGACCAATCCCCACCACTCCCTACAAGCACTCACCTATCACCATCCCACCTACCTTCCCCAGCCCCACCTCTCCTCTCTATTTATTTCTGAGCTCCCTTCTCAGTCCCCATTTCTGAAGAAGGGTCCTGACCCGAAATGTCAACTTTCCCTCTCCTCTGATGCTGCCGGGCCTGCTGTGTTTCTCCAGCTCCACACTGTGTTATCTCTGATTCAACCTCTGAGGGTTTGTCCTCAAGGCCTTCTGGATCATAAAAATAGCTCAGGGTTGGGAAGGCATTGCAAAGTGGAATTTTCAGTCAAAAATCCTAAAATGTTTAGTTAACGAATCTCATTCTTGCCTTCACTGGAGAGCAAAGTCCAGCCATGATGTATAAACATAAACTGGGGAATGCTTATAATTGATCTCTTACACATGAGAGATTTGATGATGTTATTTATTTCTTTCGTAGAGACAAGTTGTTCCCTGCATTAGGATTTGGTGCACAGATACCCCCTACCTGGCAGGTAAATATTGAACAGTTACTTTAAAAATCATTTGAACTTTGGTTATCAAATCTTATACAATTTTTTTGTCTCCTTTTAGGTATCACATGAATTTCCAATTAACTTCAACTCTGACAACCCATTCTGTGCAGGTATGGAATTGTCCAAAAACGTGTACTATTGGGTTGAAAACAGTCCATCATGGATGTTGGGAATAGTGGACATGCAAAATTGAGAACAACTTTGGTGTTAATCTGGGACATTTTACATGTTGTGTCATGTATTTCACAGGGAGCCTAACTGCAATCATTGAATAATTGTTGGTTGTCCTAAAAACCCTTCTGAGCCACTGATGTCCTTTTTAGAGCCTGGAATCTGTCATTCTTATGTAGTTCAACCTACATGTGAAAAGGCAACATGTATAGACAAATTTCTTGAATATATTCAGTGACTTGTGGTAGAGGATTCCACAGGCTCATTACTCTTGGAGTGAAGCAATTTTTCCTCATCTCAGTCCTAAATGATCGACCTCATATCTTGATATTATGTCCCTGGTTTTAGAATCCTCCCTGAAAACCCAGAAAATCCTCCCTGCATCTAGTATGTCCAGCCCTGTCAGAATATTTTTTTTCTCAATCTGATCCTTCTAAACGCTGACAAATACAGGCCTAGTTGAACCAATCTCTCCTCATTGGACAGTCCTTCCATGCCTACTATAAACCTAGTGAACCTTCACTGCACTCGCACTATGGAAAGTATCCTTTCTTAAGCAGGGAGACCAAAACTGCATGTACTATTCCAGATGTGGTCTCACCAAGGCCCTTTTAAACTAAGGTAAGATATACCTACTTCTGATCTCAAATCCCCCTGCAAGGAAAGCCAATATGGCATTTACCTTCCTGATTGTTTCCTGCACATAATTATCTATTTCCATTGACTGGCACACAAGGACATCCAAATCCTTTTGTGCATTCACACTTCCCAATATGCCACCATTTATATAATACACTTATCTTTTGTTTCTCACACCAAGTACATAATTTCACATTTAACGTGTTATACTACAACAGTCATTCTGACAATACACCTTTGGCTTTTCCTTGCTCACTATCGATCTGGCACACATCCTGATCACTTTCTTGAGTGAACTAAATTGCCTCAACAGGGATTTGTCTATTTACCAGTACAACTGTTTTTCTCACATTCTGGTGTAATAACGAATAAAGACGTTGAGGATTGTCTCATACACTTTAACAGGATTTAAGACTGTTAATAGTGTGTTTGACCCATAAATTAACTTGCTTTCTCTCTGTTAGAGTATGATAGGCCCCATCAGTGTGATGTTTTCCACCGCTGTTCCCTGTGCCATGTTAATAATCTAATCACCCATCAGACATTAATTAATTTGGTTAGTTTATAGAAAACTGTAAATTTTATATGTTATTAAGCAGACACTATAGCAAACCAACTGATTTGGTGTGCAACTTACAAGCTAAAAGCAGTGTGTCAGGTAGAGTCTCAATACACACAGCTCATGGAATTCTCTTGAAGGTGAATTCTCTTGAAGGTAAAGTACACAACAGTCTACAGTAGCTGTACTATTTGAGGCAGAACTTTGTGGGAGCAGATTGGCATCATCAAATGGCTATATACCCACCTGAAGCCTACCAAAATCAAACACCAGGTGATGAACATAATCATCTTCACCTCTGAGGACAAAGAAGAGAGAGAATATGCTGTACAATAAGATATGTTGCATCAGAATTTACAAGTCTAGTAAATTCCAGCAGTTGTTGGCTTTTGACAATTGGAGAACAATGGGCAAATTTACTGATTATTGAGATTTTCCCTTGTTTTTTGGATTTGTGTTTTTGAAATTAGTTTATCATAGGCTTAATTGAGTAAATACTTTGAAAAGGGGACATTTTTGATGCTTTATGTATGCTTTTAAGGTAATTCTCATGAAGATGTTCCATATTCAATGAGCTGTGTTGAAACTGGGAGTTAGGGGGTAACCTAATAAAGCTAGGGACACTTAAAAACTCAAGTCAGTGAACTGAAAAACACATCCTAATGGCCATGTCCTCTGTTTATGGTGAGAAGTGGTTTTGCTGTTATATTACATGCTGGCACCAGGCACCACCACCACCAGTCCCCCGCCCATTGTTGAAGTAGAAACCAGTTGTCCAGAGGGTCCATCACAAATAGATAAGCATGCAGTTTTAAACTGCATCAGTGGTGTGCGCTTCAGATCCTCTGCTAACCAGAAGATCTATGCCATTGTCTCCTGCTTCAGTCATTAAATCTGCATCAACTTTGTTTGAAGCAAAATATCTCCTGCCTTCTGTCCAGCACTCTGCTGAAATGTCAGTTGATGAGGTTGTGTTCAAGTTCTTGGAGTGGGCTTTGAACTGATAGCTTCTGTTTTAGGGTATCAACTAATGAGCCAAGGCTGACAGCTAAATTTTGAATGTTTTAAGTCTCCTTGGGAGGGAAAAAGAAGTCTATCTTCAAAAACATTAAAGATTAGAAGAAGTTCCCTCCACAACAGGTCTCAAATCTACAGGTGCATGATACAGTTTTGTCATTTTTCACATGCGAGAATGCATGTACATTGTTTGGAACTTTCTTCAATTATTTTGAGGTAGAAATATTTCTTTGAAGTCTAGACATTTGCTTTGAATTACAAGTCTTTGTTATTTTGCTTGCTGTATTCTTTTGGAAAGCAGAATGCCAGAAACTCGTATAAATTTAGCTCGAGTTACTACTGTTTCTGTTCAAACTTAATATGCAGTTACATTGTTAGACATCGTGAGCCTGAAGTTGCATTATGCTTTGTACAGGAATGATCTTTTAGCTTTGTAAACAGGTGAAATATCTTGATGAAAGCTAAATTTGCAACCAAGCTAGATTGTCTGCAATAAAAAAAATGCTTCACCAATTTGCTTATTAGGAGTGCAAGGAATTGTGGATGCTTACCGTAGCTGTCTTCCCCAAGTCAAACTATATGGACCAACAAACTTTGCTCCCATCATCAATCACGTGGCAAGATTTGCAGCTGCAGCAGTACAACAGCCAACAGCTTCTGTAAGTATAAAAGGAGAAACCCCAGGTACTCGCAATATGAACTAAAACTGAAAACGCAGGACAATTCTGTCAATGTCTGCAGGGAAAAATATGAAGGATAAGTTAATATTTTTGGTGGGCTCCTTTTTATTAATCTTGTACTTCCAGCATTTTCTCACAAAGTGAGAATCTTCATATGTTTGTCAGTGTTCAGTCTTTTTTCACACAAAAACTTACAGTAATATATTGAAAGTAAGGATATGGAAAGTCTATACTATTTTATAAATGTTAAGGTGTCAAATGATGTATAGAAGCAGTGTGATGTTATTCTGATGTATGACTCACTAAAATTTGGAGCATAAATAAATTGATATGAAGGGAAGGAATCCCTAGATTTGGATTTAAGGCACAGCATACAGTAATGAGAAAATATTGCTGAACTCATAGAAGATTTTAATTGGATAATAGTTTCAGCGTTGCACTAAATTTTATAACCATTCTAGAAAAATTCTACATCTAAAAAGTTTGGATAGTTCTCAATCCTTCTAATAATCTTTGTTTCTCTATATTTGAATGCCCTCCTGTGTCGTAAGTGACTATATGATTCACTGGTGGCAATAGAAATCACAGTACTTTCAATGTTGTCAGTCTGGTTAATGGACACAACGGGAAAAATTATTCCCCTGAGGCAGTAGGGAGTTGAGGTTCAAAGCACATCTGCTAAGCCTGCTGTTTAGAAAGGATATCTGTCCCTAAAGTCAGTGTTTTCTCCTAAGGTTAATTCAAAAGTTTTGAAGTATTTCATCTGCAATGTTTACATGTTTGATAAAGTATGATAAAAGATTGACCACAAAATTCAATTTGTAAATAGTTCAATTTCAATTTTAAATGTTAATCATGGTAATGGTGCGATAAGAGATAATTCAATAATGGAGAAGAAAAGAGTGTTTTGTATTTAAAGATACCGAAGCAGAACCAAAAATATTTGCACAACGCGAGATATTTACCTGGTATTAATCTGGAAGGTGAAATATGAATGTAGATAAAAATTATATCAAACTTTATGTTGATGTTTATCATGTCACCTATAGCAGACTTTTTAAAAAAATGAATAAACTGCTGTTATAAGCTTTGTTTTGTACTTCATGCATTTCAGTTTTAAGATTATTTCCTCTTGGTTTCTAATGCCCATTTTCAATTTTTTCCCCATTTTCAGTTGGCATCTCTTGAAAGCATAGTAAAAAGTATGATTTTACAAGTATGATAGTCCTCTCTCACCTCAATCCATGTGTCTGTTGTTTTATGAGCAGGAGGTGACATGATAAATGTTAATATGATGTTCAATTTGCCACCTGATTTTTACCAAGATAGAATTGGGTATATATAACAAGGTGTAGAGCTGGATGAACACAGCAGGCCAAGCAGCATCAGAGGAGCAGGAAAGCTGACGTTTCGAGCCTAGACCCTTCTTCAGAAATGGGGGTGGGGAAGGGGATTCTGAAATAAATAGGGAGAGAGGGGGAGGTGGATAGAAGATGGATAAAGGAGAAGATAGGTGGAGAGGAGACAGACAGGTCAGAGAGGTGGGGGTGGAGCCAGTATATCCATCTTCTACCCGCCTCCCCCTCTCTCCCTATTTATTTCAGAATCCCCTTCCTCTCCCCCATTTCTGAAGAAGGGTCTAGGCCTGAAAAGTCAGCTTTCCTGCTCCTCTAATGCTGTTTGGCCTACTGTGTTCATCCAGCTCTACACCTTGTTATCTCAGATTCTCCTGCATCTGCAGTGCCTACTATCTCTAGAATTGGGTACATCTATTTTTGCCCAAATCATCATCTTGGGTTCTCTGTCTGGAGCCAGGTCTGACCTACAGCACCATGACATCCACTGTTAGGGCAGGGAAACAACATGCCCTGAATCTACCCCAGCCAGAATGGGGATGGAACCCTGTACTGTTGGCATCAATCTGCTCTACACTAGTCTCCATTAAACTCTCCACTCACAAGCTGCACAAACACAGGAAAGCAAATAATCATGAAATGTAAATGACAATCTTGTAGCGTAGTTTGATTTTCTGATATTTGCACTTTAGAAACATCTGGATGTAAGAAATGCCACGCTTGTGAGCAACACTGTGAAGACACAATTGATGTCATCCTGTCCTTTCCATCTTCTGATATTTGTGCTGTGTTGTTCATCCTGCATGATTTCAAATAGAAAATCCCAGAAGTGGCATCAGCAGCACAACTTCTCAACTTGTTTAACTGAAAAGGAAAATCCAACATAAGTTTGTGAGATATCAGAATATCTCAACATTTTTTATTCAAAGTGCACAAAACTATTGTTTAATTTTTATATATTTAGCATGCTCTCTGTCAACTCTGATGGAAAATTAATTATATTTAAGTACACCACTGAAGTGACCCCGTTTATCTTGACCTGTGAAAATTTTTGTCTTAACAGCAGTATTTCATCCTACTGATCATCACAGATGGAGTGATCACAGATTTGGATAACACAAAACAGGCTATTGTTAATGCTTCTAAGTTGCCGATGTCCATCATCATTGTCGGTGTTGGTGGAGCAGATTTTAGTGCCATGGAATTTCTGGATGGTGATGATGGTGTACTGAGATCACCCACTGGGGAAAAAGCTATCCGGGATATTGTCCAGTTTGTGCCTTTTAGGAAATTTCAAAACGTGAGTATGTTAGGTATATGATGACATTAATGTTTTGAAGTCTATTTCACAGTTTATGTGAATATAGTTATGATATTGCTGATTTGAAAGAAGTTCATTTGAATTAAATGTCTGGCATTAACCATTTATAGTAGCCTTTCTCATCATTCTAAATAAAATGTCATTTTCCTTGCGTAGGGAAAATCTAGAGGACTGAAAGATTGCAAATATTATATCCATTTTAAAAGGGAAGAGTGATAAACTTGACGACTATAAGTTACCTAGCTTAGATTATGGAAAATTTGAAACAATTTTCTTGGACAAAATTAATTGGCATTTGAAAAAATATGAGTTAATGAATGAAAGTTAATATGGATTTGCTGAAAGGCAAATCATGTTAGATTAAATTGCTTTGAGTTTTTTTGAAGTAATTGAGGCTAAGTTAATGTTTTATGGTCATAATGTTGTTGATGTTGTGAGTTTTGACTTTTGAGTGGCATTGTCAAAGTAGCACATAATAGTCTTATTAGCAAAATTAAAACCAATAGTTTTAAATGGATAGTGAGTATGTGGAGGTAAAATTGACAAAGTTGCAGAAGGATGAATGAAAGAACTTGGGTATAGCATTTATCAATTGCTCTTCAAAACGGTCAGTACTGACATTATCTAAATATCTTTCCTTGATGCAATATAATTCTATGATTCTAGAATATTTGGGAGTCCATTTATTTTATCTCCATACAGAAAACCTCCTAACACCAGTCTTAAATTTGCTTTTTACTTGTTTGAACCTTTGTTTGCAAGCGTTTTGGTGAGTTCAAACTTAAAGGATATTCTTCAAAGTGATAATCAATGCAAATGGGACTTGGTTAGCTCTTCATTACTGTTTTAATCCTCATACCCAGCCTGCCCTGAAGTCTTTTCAGGGACCGATGTGGTCTTTCAGTTATCTTTCTAAGTTTAAACATATATTCAAAATAATCTAAATGAAGAAGAGAATAAAACTCAGTTTCCCACCATAAACATCAGTTGAGTTATCAGAATGGAAAATAATGTTTAAATTGAACTTTTTATTGTAGGTGTTCAGGAAAACTAAAAATTGCTGTATGCTGTAGTGAATATTTCTTTGAATTGTGAGTTTACATTTGTTTTCTCTCCAGTGTAAACAAAAATGCACATCTGAAAATGGATAACACAGAATTTAATTCATTGAATTAGTTTTCCGTAAATACTTGATTCCTGTGACTGGATTAATAAATTATTTCAAATCTGTTATATTTTAGGTAGTTTAAAAATTATTCAGATTTGTTTAATATGACTTTAAAATTCAATTTGTATGGGTTTTATCTTTCTGCAGGCTCCAAAAGAAGCTCTTGCACAAAGTGTACTCGCCGAAGTGCCTCAACAAGTAGTCTACTATTTCAACACACGCAAAATAAGCCCTCCAACTGAGCAAAAACCTGAAGATTTTCTGGATTTCTAGTTGATAGGCTGTGAATTTTTCAAACTTAATTTGTCTGTGCCATTTAATTTGTTAAGTTCTTGTAAATGTGTTTGCGAAATAATTGCATATGGTTAATCTCTTATAAATGAAAAGTTTAATTTTTCTTCCCCAATTGTGTAACAAAGAATTATCTTTTTGATTAAGGCCTTACCAGATTGTACCTGTTTCCAAAATGAATGTTTCACTTATCAGCCCTAATGATACAAGCTGCGCCTTTTTGCATGTAATTCCATTGCTTTGCACAAAAGTGATCTAAGGGTGCTTGAACTGGGAAATGAGAATACTAGTTAAGCAGCTTTTCATGTTCAGCTATATGTCACAGCGCTGAGTTATAACCAGCAAAATTAATTCCTGTCAATTAGCCTCAGCATTTCCAGGCTGTTGAGGGAAATTTTCAATCAGGGTTCCTGCTTGTGACTGTTAGAATTATCCAATGGCTGTTGTATAAAGCTGAGAGCAGTTCACCAACACCATTGAAATAAAAGTAGCAAATTGGCAGGCACTTTGAGTGAAACTGTACGATTGCTCTCTCTAGACATGAAGTGGTGACTTGTTGTGTGTGGGAGGAGAGAAGTGGAACCAAAATGAAAGCACCTTTTATTCTAGAAGTTGGCATTTCCTGTATTTTCCAATCCATGGAACAGTGTTTTGTTGCTAGTCATCAAAACACGTCTGCACAACTCTTTTCCCAGAAACTTGCTTCATGTCTAAACTTATTAAGTAGTAAATTTATCTAAACATTTTATATGTATGATTATTTTGAAACAATATTTAGAATGAATCATACAATTTTTGTTTTGTTAAAATTGTGTAAAAAGTTGTTTGAGTAAACTTTTTTTTCAGTTGGTAAGCTTACTGTATTTACGTAGTGGTCTTGTTTACCAATTTTGGCCAAATACACACATTTTGGTAAAGCATCAATTGTAACACTGAATTGGAAAATGACTTGTATACTATGTTTTTCATAGTATTATATGCAGTACATTGTATTGAAATCATCAAATACTTAGCTAACATTACCAAAGATTAAAAATTAATTTGTGAAAGTTAAGGCTTTTTTTCTTAAACCATATTTGCCATGGAGAATCTATGAACAATGCATTCTGCTGTTGCACTTTCCACAATAAAGAAATCATGAAAATATCACTTTCCTATCCTGTTTGTTTTAGAGATTAATTTGTTTAGCTACAAGTTCTATACTTGAATCATCTATTAATATTGCTGGGAAAAGAATCCAACTATTTCATTGTTGCTGATGTTTTTACTTGCATCTTGTATTGCAAACAATTAACTGATGTTCTGGGCTACATTCTCAATATCAGGATTATAAAGTGTGCGCTCTATACTGTCAGATAACAAAATTCCACAAACCTATTTTAATATTAATTAATGCATTTTTATTGGGGGTGTTGGGTAAGAGAGGGAATGTTGGGAAATAAATCCTGAATCCAATTGTAATAAATTGGAAAGACTGGAAATACTCAATTGTTTATTCATATTCTCCACATACTGGGGGGTGATTTTCTTTTCCTGATACTCTTGAACATCCGAAGGAGTCAGAGAGGTGACCAAAGGTGAGGTTCAGAACTGAAATGCTGATTTTACTTGTCTTCTTTACAAGATGCCACCTTGATAACCCAGACTGATTTGTTATTCTAATTGTTTGATGGTGCTCATTATGAAAATGAGATGAAGATGGTGGGCATTGACAGGGCCAACTGACAGGTAGTAACTGATGACTGTGATCTCTGAAGGTTGACTGTTTGAAAGGGCATTGGACGAGGTGAGCAGAAACAAAAAAAAACTCAGCTGGATAAGATGGGCTAGAGAAAAACCAGCTAATGAAACCTGCCCTTCTCAACTCGGTCTTCCTGTGCAGCAAATGTGACAGAGACTATTATTGCTAGAGAGGTGATCATACGCCAGGGAATGTTTCTATAGAGTTGAAACCATGACTTCCATCATCTCTCCTAACAGAACAATACCAAGTGAAACTCATTAATGAGGCTTTTTTTATACTTGACCTAAAGGCCTCTTGATCAGTGTTTAAACAAAAAACTTGCAGAGGAGTTACAGCAGGACTTGGAGTTTTTTGTTCATTTGCTGAACAGGACTTTTGAAACCCTTTGAGACAATTTGTCAAGGTTTCATCAACATTTATTACAGAATCCCATAGAATCATAGAATCCCTACAGTGTGGAAACAGGCCATTTGGCCCAACAAGTCCACACCGCCCCTCCAAAGAAAATCCCACCCAGACCCATTCTCCTACCCCGTCGTTTCCCTTGTCTAACCCACCTAACCTAAACATGCCTGGGCACTATGGGCAATTTAGCATGGCCAATCCACCTAGCCTGCACATCTTTGGACTGCGGGAGGAAACCGGAGCACCCGGAGGAAACCCACGTAGAGAATATGCAAACTCCACACAGACAGTCGCCCGAGTCTGGAATCAAACCCGGGTCCCTGGCGCTGTGAGCTAACCACTGAGCCACCGTGCCGCCCCTAAATCAGTATTCTTATTCTGCATCACATGGAAATAGTGAATATTGTACTGTTCAAACTTTTATTAGGAGTTGAGTTTTAAGAGTCACCAGGAGAACTGAGGCCTTGGTCACTGGGTCCTTGCTAGGGGTTCCCCTTGGTCTTTGAGAAATTAGATGTGGATATAAGGCCAGCCAAAGCAGAACCAGTAATTCTCTTTTAGTTATTGATATTTAGGCATTGCTGGGTAGGCCAGCATTTATTGCCCATACCTAGTTGCTCTGGAGACATTGATTGTGAACTGTCACCTTTGAATTGCTGCAGTCCTTAGAATGTAGTGACACCCACTGTACAATTGGGAAGGGAATCCCAGGATTTTGACCCAGCAATAGTGAAGGAATGGTTATTATAGTTCCAAGTCAAGATGATAAGAGGCTTGGAGGGGAACTTGCCTGTGGTGGTACTTTCCTGTTCATCTGCTCCGCTTGATCTTCTGTTGCAGGAGAGACAGACTAAGATTGATGGGGGATTGTTGTTTTCTTTTGGCTACAAAGCATTTTGCCTCCTCTGGATCTCTTACTAGCTAAACTTCCAATGTAGCAGCTGAAATCTTCTCACTCCATTCCAAAAACCATCCTGCTTCTTGATGCTCTGTGAAAGCCAGCAGGCTCCATGTGTTCCAGTAAATTAAGAGCAAGAAGCCTGCATATACTGCTTGAATAAGTACTTACTTTCAGTACACACTATCTTTCCCATGACCTGCTAAAATAACAAGAAAGGAAAAGTTAAATTCTAAACCTTTTAACGAAGATCTGTAGTTCGGGTTGTGGTTGGAGCAGTTGGTTGGTTCGCGGAGCTGACTGGTTTTCATGCAAACGTTTCATCTCCCTTCTAGGTGACATTGTTAGTGCTGTGTACCCTCCGTTGAAGCACTGTTGTTCTGTCCCGTTCTGAATTTACCACCCTACCCATGTTAGAAACATATCAGAACTGAGTACAAGACTCCTATGACCTCTTGGAATAAGGATAGCACACAAACCAACAGCCATACTTGGCCAGTTACTCTCAAAGACGAAAGACCCCATACCCACAATGAGCAGGACAAGTGTGATATATAAAATACCATGCAGCAACTGTGAGAAACAGTACATAGGACAGATGGGCAGGAAACTCACCACCAGGATCCATGAACACCAACTCGCACCAAACAGCACAACCCATTCTCCCTCGTTTTGATACACTCAATTTGACTGGGACAAAGTTACAGTACTAGGACAAGTGAGACTAGGACAAGCACAAGAATTCCTGAAGGCCTAGTTTTCACTCACCAATACAATTAACAAACATGTTGAAATAGACCCCATCTACATACCACCACGGTACAAAACTGGAAACAAGATTAACAGACCAAACCATATAAATTCAGAGCAGGACAGAACAACAGCATTTCAACGGAGACTACACAGCACTGATGATGTCACTTAGAAGAGAGACAAAACATTTGCACACAAACCAGTCAGCCCGGTAATCCAACCAACAACTCCAGCTGCATTCTAAACTACAGCTTACAAACTGATGTGTCATATTAGAACATCATCTATTTAGTGCAAAAGTAAAATAATGGATCCTGGAAAATTGACAAAGAACAAAATTCTGGAATTACACAGTAGGTAAAGCATTATCTGAGAGAAACAGAGTTAATGTTTCAGGTCAGTGTTATCTAGCTGTGTCCTAGCACTATGGGCTTAGACATGCTTGTGTGTTCTTTTCTTTCCGATTAGTTGGCTCCTACTGTGTAAGCTGTGCACCACCTTGCTATACGATAAAGGGAGAATTATATCAATGAGTGCTATGCAATCTGTTTGGCTGATGTGGCTGTCGTGATTGAATAGTTGGCTCTGTGTGTCACCTGAGAATTGTGCAGTCAGTCTTGCATCACTGTTCGATAGGTGAAAACATAGTGAAGCATGGGAATATTTGGTGGAAGGTTAGATTGATGGTAGTGGAGTGAATGAGGTGCGCTAATTTATGGCAGAGGCTACTGGTACAGTGGTAGGATTTGTTGCGTTCTATGCGTCTAAGAGTTGAAACCCTGGGTTTTATGTCTGAACAGGAATTTTATTTACTAGTGCTTTTAAAATATCTACACACATAATTCCAGCTGTTAGCTCTTCAGTTTAGTTTCTGTGTAACTAGACCTATAATTAACTAACAGCACAGAGAACAACCAATAAATGTATGTAATCAAACACCTAATTATTGAATACCACACATATATAGCATCAAAATGTATTTTCTAACTTAATCAGTCAGGTGAGGTCATTGAACATCTCTCAGCACTACCTGTAACATCCTCCAGGGGTCTCTGCTCCCCCTTTGACAATGTGGCTAGAGGGTCTTCTTTCTCTCTGGAAATACATTTTTTTTCTTGATCTATGTCTCTGTGCTATGAGGCTGTGTTCTAGCCAAAATGCATCTCTCCTTTAGAAGTGCAGGTTAATTTTGACCAACAACAATGCAATGCTGGCTGAGCACAAATCACACAAATGTGAATTTAGTTTGAATCAATACAGCGTGGAGCTGGTAGAACACAGCAGGCCAGGCATCAGAGGAGCAGGAGAGTCGACGTTTCGGGCCTAGACCCTTCACATTTTAGCCTGAGGTTGTCATACTGTTGTATTACAATAGGTAAGAGCAGGATTTATAGGCATTGCCATCCTGTGTCTGCTTTTACAGCCTTTCCAATTTAGCATATCTAGCCACTTATTTACCTGTTATTTTTAATTTCCGCCCTTGATTGTTTTTTGTTGATGTGGCTATATTCTCCTTCGTTCCACACATCATAACATTTATGTTACTTTATAATACATTGTCAGGAGCATATTTTTTCGATAAAATAATGTAATTCATTTCTTCCTTCTTTCCCAGCCACTTCAGCAGAATTAACTGAATTAATTTAAATTATGCGTTCATGTGTAGTAACCCCCCCAATGTGTCAGAAAATAAACACTTTACTCCTCTGTTTAATGCCCATGTAACACATCAGAACAGTCTAATTGCATGAGATAACAAAGAGTAGAGCTGGATGAACACAGCAGGTCAAGCAGCATCTTCTGAAGAAGGGTCTAGGCCTGAAACGTCAGCCTTCCTGCTCCTCTGATGCTGCTTGACCTGCTGTGTTCATCCAGCTCTACACCTTGTTATTCTCAGATTCTCCAGCATCTGTAGTTCCTACTATCTCAGTCTAATTGCATGTCTCTGTTTTGATTCATTTGTTGTGCAACTTAGGGATTCCGTCTATTTGTTCAATGAAAATCTGTTTAATCCATTCGGACGCCTCTTCGTGACTCTGGGCTGACTGAAACCTTTGGTTTGCATGCCCCATTGAAATGCCTTGCCACCACAGCCACACCCAGTGCGCTGCACTATAACACTGTCAACATGGCTGACGTCTCCTGTAGCGCCGCCTAGCACTCAGGCATGCGCAGTGTGATCGAACCCCGTGTCGGCTGGAGCTGGTTTAGTGCGCGAGCTGCAGTAAGAGATGAGCGCGACTGTCAGTGGTATTAAAAAACTTTATTATCTCCTAAACGCGCTCAGGCGCTTCTTGCTATCTCCTTATGTTCCGCTTTCCTTTCTCGGAGTCCTGCTAAAGCTCATTTCAGTGCGAGGGTGAAGAAATGTGGCTCCTTCTCGGGTAGTTGTTCACGTCTGTTTATTAATGTGCGATTTGTTCCCGGAGACAAGAATTAACCCGTCTCACGTTATAGGGCGTCGTCCCAAGTTCTCTCTGTATGTTTGTGTTGTCATGTTCGTGCGAAATCTCTGCTTTCATTTCTTCTTCCCGTTGCTTTGTATTGAGCCTCTGCAGTGCAGTTCCAGTGTTTTATTTTCAACTGAAGGCTCTCGTTGGGAGACTGACATTATTGATTTGAGTTGCGTTTGTGCACTGATCTTAAGTTTCTGATCAATGTTGACCTCTCCCTCCCCCATGCTGATGATGGTAATGAAGGTAAATGTCAGGAGAATGTGTGGGCTCTTTTTCGGAGATGGTCTTTGCCTGCCAAGGTGTGAAATGTGTCATGCCCTAACCCTGAATGTTACCCAGGTCTTCCTGCACGGACTGTGCGGTGCTTCCAGTGAGGTTAGCTGGGTGGACCTCATAGAATGAGTTCCCTGATTGGACCAGATTAACAGGCCCAATCAGGGAGCCCTGGCTGACAGACGAGAACAGGAGTGTCAGACATCCTGGTCACTCTGAGAGCTGGCTCCAAGGGAGCTGCCTCAGTGTCAAGAACTCTCCATGTGTAAATAAAGGGTGACTTGGTGACAGGATACCAGGCTCTATGGAGTTATTTCCGACTGCCCCTTCATCTAACGAGTTTTGAGGAACTGAACACTACGGATATCCCAACTTTCTACTTTATTTTAGGGGAAAGCACTGAAAACGGACTCGAGGACTGCCCCACCCCTCAGATCTGCAGAAATATGCTGGGGGTTCGGATGGTTGGCCTGCTTTTTCCCCACTTACACCTCGTCCTATTTCCAACTCCTGATTCTTCACTTGCCCAATTGCCAACTCCACTTTTTTGCCTTGCCCTTTAATCGTTTCTGCCTTCTACCTATCGCAGACTATCTACTTGGCTCTGCCCCGCCTTGCCCTGCATTTCCTATCTCTATTTATTTAAAACGGCTGCAACTCAACATTGTCAGCATTGAACCATGTTAACTGCTTTTCTGTTCTGTCCCCAGTCTTTCCATATAGTATGTTCTGTCATTGTTTCAATAAAGCTTCCTGTCCTTGGCCCTTTTTAATCAATACTTGTTTGTGACTTGTCGGAACACTGGTAAGGTCAAATTTATTGCTGATGATGTTCTCCAGTTTCCTTGAGGAGGTGATTGTGTATCTGCTCCTTAAGCTGTTGCAGGTCTATGGCACTGATAATCCCATAATTATTTGTTAGGGAGTTTCAAGATATTGATCCAGTAATAAAAGAACACAGATTTATGGAGTTTATAAGGTTTCTTATGCTCGCACCTGAGTTACATCTGGTGATGCCTCCCCTGCCTAATTTTTAATGGAAATGTTGCAGCATGTGGTGTTGGAATGTTTTATAATTGCTATGATTAAAATTTGCATCATTTTCCAACCATATAATTGTCCAGGAACACTTTCTCCCCCCACTAACTCTGGACTCCAATAGGAATCAGTACAACCTGTACTAAAGACTGTTATTTGCATTTTGTACATTTTCTAAAAGTCTATTCCTATGTTTTCATGAACATTTGGCTGTGTAATTTGTACAGTTTTAAGATGCCTAACGCTGCATTAGAGATAAACTGTCTTTTCTCAAATTTCTTAACCTGTTTTGACACATTTGACTCCACAGTGCGCATAATTAAAGCACATGGATTGGAGGTGGTCTATTGGCAAGGCTTGACAGTTGGTTGCAGACATGAAACAGAGTGTGAATAAATGGGTCTTTTTCTGGGTGGGAGGTGACAAATGGCGGTGACTAGCGGGATAATGCAAGAATTGGTACTTGGGACCCAGCTATTATCAGTATACTATATACTCCGCAACCTCTTGTGTACCTTCTTTTTAATCACAAAAAACTCTGGCTGTTTTTAACCTTTCTGTCACTATTTGCTTCCACTTTTCACAGTAAAGACAGTTACAAACTTACCAGTGTCTTTGGACTAGTTAAATCTGTTGTTTTTTTTTGTATATTAAGTGCATTGGCAATATCCAGGATTGATTTCTATTGCATCTGATACTGATAGCTAATGCAAGGATTGCAATATGTTTTGAAAGCTGTTCCAAATACAAGTTACCAATATTTTTAGAAAATTGACAATTGCTGATGTGCTAATAATTTAATTAATTGTTCTTACAAGATGTTATTCAGCATGGTGGGGAAGGCATGTCTTCTGTTTCCATCCCTATTATGTGAAATATTATCTTCCTCATCACTAGCAAATGCCTGGCTAGAGGCACTTCCATGTCAGCATAACAAGTAGTTATAGGAAGAAAGGTGGTCGAGGTTTTTGTTCTTTATGTATTTTGCTTATATTTTAATACAAATTATTAGATTAACTGCACACGAGGTAGCTTTAATGTTCTGAATGGGAAAAAAAATTAAATGATTTAATAGGATTACAGGAACTGTGAACAATAACAACAGTAAATGCAAGGCATATGACAAGGTACCAAGCGACTTGTATCTGCTGTGTAGTTGGCTTCTCTTTCATCTGCTTTCTTACCCACTTAGTCAGTGACCAAAGTAAATCAGTAACTAGATGAAATCTATTTTCCCCACAAAGCAAAATCAGCTTTTTCAGTTAGTACTGGAACAAGGCCTTGTGTGCTTTTTATTTGTAAGTGAGCAAAATGATTGCCAATGAGTATCACACCCATCTGAGGAAGTAAGCATGATGGTTTCACCAGTAATGCAATTACTGAGGGTAAATGAAAGAATCTAAACTAATCAACATATTCAAGCAAAATGTTTGTATGCTTAAACATAAATCGTGTTCTGCCCACAGTCTGCATGGACATCATGATGGTAGGTGGTGCTTATGGCACTCCTCAGTTTTACTTCTATCAGACCCACATACAACATCTCCCCTAAGCTATACTCTGTATCATTTCTATACACAAATGTGTATACAAAATTAAATTTCTCACTACTCTCTTTTCTGCAAGTTTCTGACTTTATAAATTCAGGTGATCTGGACCTTTCACTATTCTCCTGGAACATATCCCATCTGTCTTGTACCACTGGCGTATCTGCAGGCATATTGAAAATAAAGAACTGCTGACATGGAATGAAGATGTTGTGTGCACAACTCCGTGGAAGTCACCACTGAGAATGGCCAGCTATTGTCCAATGATTCAAGACACTGCAAGGGAGGAATTGCTGTTTCAGCAGGGAAGAGGTCCTCCAGGAAGAAAAGTTCAGGAGATTAAATGTCCTCAGTTTAAAGGAATCTATCAACCTCAGTCTGGTAAGAAGAAAATGAAAGACAACAGCTTTCAACCTGGAAAAGTACTAGTTTTGCAAGACAAAAGAGGATGTGTTCCAGGAGACTAGGGAAAGCTCCAGATCAACTGAATTTATAAAATCAGAGTTGCAGGAAATAGAACAAAGGACAAAGAACAAAGAAAATTACAGCACAGGAACAGGCCCTTCGGCCCTCCAAGCCTGCGCCGATCCAGATCCTCTATCTAAACCTGTCGCCTATTTTCCGAGGATCTGTATCTCTCTGCTCCCTGCCCGTTTGTGTATCTGTCTAGATACATCTTAAATGACTCTATCGTGCCCGCCTCTACCACCTCCGCTGGCAACGCGTTCCAGGCACCCACGACCCTCTGCGTAAAGAACTTTCCACGCATATCTCCCTTAAACTTTTCTTCTGTTACCTTGAAATCGTGACCCCTAGTAATTGAGTCCCTCACTCTGGGGGAAAAAGCTTCTTGCTATCCACCCTGTCTATACTGCTCATGATTTTGTAGACCTCAATCAGGTCTCCCCTCAACCTCCGTCTTTCTAATGTAACTAACCCTAGTCTACTCAACCTGTCTTCATAGCTAGTGCCCTCCATACCAGGCAACATCCTGGTGAACCTCCTCTGCACCCTCTCCAAAGCATCCACATCCTTTTGGTAATGTGGCGACCAGAACTGTACGCAGTATTCCAAATGTGGTCGAACTACATGAAGTGAAATGAAGCAGAGTTAAACGTAATTTTATATGGACTGGGAGAAACTGCAGGTAAACTGTTAATCTAGCTGTACTTCTGTCTCTGAACTGTCTGCCGCAGCCAGAAGGAGCCCACTATGTCACCACAATTAACTCCCCCTCCCCCTCTGGTATTTATCGTATTATCGTATTATTGTATTATATTACCAATAATATTAAAATATAGCTTGGGGGAGATGCTGTTTGTGCATCTGAAAGGAATAATACTGAGGGGTGCCAAAAGCACCACCAACAGTCATGATGTCTGTACAGACTTGTGGGCAGAACAGGAAAGGATTTTGAAGAAGTTAGAACTAGCATCTGGTCCTCCTCAGTCTCTGTAACAACGTATTTCATCAATGTAACCTGTAACTATTTGCTAAAATGCAGTAAATTATATCTTGTCAACTACAAGCAATTTTTCTGGTTAGGCAGTATGGTTTTTCTTTGCAACGCCAGACCGAGCCATCTGGTAATATAAATTTAAGAGGATGACAGGAGCAACCTTCACACAGAGTGAACTGGCATGCCCATACAGCATGGAATAACTTGCTTGTGAGCATCTGAAGATAATTTCTGGAAATTTGCTGATTTTTCTCTGAAGATTTTAAGGATTCAAGAAAAACTTTGTACCGGTCTACACTGTGCCTTTCTGCACACAAAATTTTACACAACGTGCAAATTGAGTGGGATTCCAGGGGTCACTAGAACAGGACGCTGGCACTGTCAGTAATGCCATCCTATCATGAAAAACTAAACAAGGTTTCTTAAAAATAAATGAATTGACCTCTGGAATGGCCTGAAGCTTGTCAAGGTTTACGATATATTTATATTTTTTAAAATGTTATAGTAATTTCTCCGTGTTGTCCCATAACAAATTAATGAATATATAACTACAGATCTTCTACACATTAAATAATTTTATTCTAAAAACCACAGGATTTCGTACTTGTGGTACACCTGCCTTCCAAATTTTGAAATGTTTGCTTTCTGTTGTGTATAAAATATGAAATTATGTTTTTGCAAAGTTGCACTAATAGGGATGACTAATTATGCTATCAAATTAAAATACTGCATTGCTTTTATGTGAGGGACAGAAATCACTTAGAGCAAACTTAGCTAAGCAATAGTGGTTTTAAAAATGCATAGTCCTTCTAAGGTGCAAGAGCTAAATAATATTATTTAACTACTGTGACAAAGTTTTGAGGCCAATACCAGAAACTAATTTATCAGTTTGTATTATTACAGTGCTTCTGCCTGCCTATTGTGTATGAGGGAGAAGGAGCTAATTACTGTGTATTGTGGAGGAGGGAGGGTGGAGAATAGAGAGGGAGCACTTGTGGGTGCAGTGATAGTATTAGTTAGTTTATTGTAACACACCTGAGTAGGTAGATTGAAAATACCAGGAAGGGGAGAGAGGGGGTGTTGGGTGTCGGGGGGGGCGGGGGGGCGGGGGTGGTGTGGTGATGTATTCGGCTCCTTCTGGCAGTCACAGAGAGCTCAGAGGCAGAAGGGCTGCTAGATTAACAGAGATAATAAGGTGTAGAACTGGATGAACACAGCAGGCCAAGCAGCATAAGAGGAGCAGGAAAGCTGACGTTTTGGGTCTAGACACTTCTTCAGAAAGAAGGGTGTTCTGAAGGAGGGTCTAGACGCGAAATGTCAGCTTTGCTGCTTGGCCTGCTGTGTTCGTCCAGTTCTACACCTTGTTATCTCAGATTCTCCAGCATCGGCAGTTCCTACTATCTCTGCTAGATTAATAGTTTACATGCAGGTTCTCCTAGTCAGACCCCTAGCTCTCAAATCCATCCCTGCTCACAATCAAAGTACCCCTTATTTCAGTCCTTAGAGATTTCCTAACACAAAGAGGTACAGGTTCTGAGGGAGGGTCACCGGACCCGAAACGTTAACTCTGATTTTTCTTCAAAGACAGAAAGAGGTTTGTTCAGAATTCCTGTAAGGAAAAGATGTAGATCCGTATGCGGAAGAAGTCAAATGAAAACAGGAAGCAATGCTCCAGCTGCCTGACAAGGTCTAAAACCTGGAAAGCTTTGTAAATAATTGGAGATGAGAGAGATGGGTGTTTACCAAAAGTGGCCAAATTATGAATTCGGTGTTCAGTAGTTGGTTGGATGGAAAGAAACTCTCTATCTACACCATTAGAACATTGTGACCATTTTGGAGACAGAGTTCATAGAAGTGTGCTTTTCTGATGATACTTTTACTTGTAAAACTCTAAGATGAAAGCTGCTTTTGGACTCCTGACCCATTCTTCATATGAAGAACAATATACCTTTAAACTATGTGGCTTTGTATTTCCACATGTCTGTGGGGAGCGATTTAGGTAGTTGTGATTGTGTAAAACATATCTTTGTTGCATTAGTTATTTGAAGTGAATGAACCTTTTTATTTTGAACTATCATTTGTCTGTTCATTTTAAACTTATATTGTTTCCAGTTTGTACGAAAATAAAGTTACAAAGTGTAAAATCATGCTGGTAATTTCCTCATTTTTGGGTTGTTGGTAAATTTGGCTATTTTAGTTTATGGTTTCTCCCATGTAGATTGCAACAAAATGTATTCCTGTAAATAGGGAGAAATGGTAATTGTTCCTTAATCATAAAAGTGGAGCAGTGCTTTAAAATTGCATTTAGTTTCATCTTTATTACCCCAGTTTTCATTGCTTCTGATTTAACTCCAGATTAAAGGAAAAATGATGGCATACTGATGGTATCACTGGACTGGTAATCCAGAGGTCCAGGCTAATACTATGAGGACATCGGTTCAGTTCCACTACAGTGGCTGGTTGAATTTAAATTCAGTTAATAAATCCAGAGTATAAATACTCTGTGATGGTGCCATGAATGTAACGTCGATTATTATAAAATTCTATCTCGTTCACTGATGACCGTTTGGAAAAGAAATCTACTATTGTCTCCTGTTATGATCTAGCTATACTTGCAGACCCCCATCTGCTGGTTGACTCCTAACTGCCCTCTGAAATGGTCTAGCAGGTCAAGGACTTTTAGGTGTGGACAAGAAATGGTGATCGTACCAGCGATGCCCATTTTCCATGAAAAAAATAAACAAAATACAAGATGAGTGAATTGCTAATACAGAATGTTCTCATTTAGTTTTGCCGCCTGGAGCCTTGCAAAAGCGTTGACTTCCTTGCTATCCATGTTCAAATAGTTGGCTCATATGCTGTTTTTCATAATACTGTGTAAATCATAATGTAGAAAGCCCTGAACTTAACAATGAAGTACTTTCATGTATTAGAAAGGAAGAATGTTGGAAATATTCAGCAGTCTAGAAGAATGTGTGATAAGACCAGCTGTTAGAGTTTGAGACTGATGACTTTTTGTCATGTGCTGGTTTGAAAATTGAGCATCCTGGGTAAATGATTCTTAGCCATATTGTTTAAACAAAATGCTCAGAAATTTGGTTTTGGGAATTAAACCTGCAAAGAAAGAAAGGGGAAAATGTAGTGGTTCACTCGGGCTGCATTGTCTATGTGTAATTTTGCTCTGTTTATTTTGCAGGGCAGCAGATGGCAGATTGTGTGACTAAGGTTGAACTAAGCGTCTGCTGTGAGAACTTGCTGGATAGAGATGTCACTTCTAAATCAGATCCACTGTGTGCACTGCTAATGAATGTTGGTGGAAATCAGTGGGTTGAAGTAAGTAATTTTCATCAGATAAGTTGTTTAATCTTGCATCATGAGAGAACAAGTTTATAACAGTGATGCTTTATTTTTCCTTCTATTCAGCTGATGATGAATGCTTTCTCATATTATTTTACCAACTTGTCTTTCACTATTACATCCTCCTTCCTTTCTTTCCTTGTCGAACATTCTTGGTAACTCAACCCCTTCATCCCAATAATCAGCCTAATGAACCGCCTCCAATGCCAATATGTCTTTTCTTAGATACGAGGATCAAAACTACAAAGTACAGGGAGGTGTAACCTCACCAGCAACCTGTGCAGTTGTAACAAGACTTTCCTATTCTTAAGCTCCAACCTCCAAGCAATAAAGACCAAAAAATATTTCCTTCCTTCGTTACTTGCTCATTTGTATGCTAATATTTTTGTTTCATGCACAAGGTCATCCAGATTCCTTTGCACAGTATTCTTTTGGAGTCTTTCTCCATTTAAAAAATAATCTGCCTTTTTACTCTTCTGACTAAAGTGCATGACATCTCACTTTCTGACATTAAATGCCTTCTACCAACTTTTTACCCGCTCACTCAGCCTACCTTTATCCTGTTGCAGATTCTTTATGTCCTCATCACAACATACCCTCTCACCCATTTTTGTATCATCAGCAAATGTGGATACACTACACTCTGCCTTTCCTTTGAGTCATTGAGAAAAATGTAAGTAATTGAAGCACTTGACACATCTTCGTGGTACTCAACTAGTTACACCTTTCCACCTGAGGGAAAAAACCCATTAATCCTCTCTCTCTGTCTCTGTCTCTCTCTGTCTCCTGTGTGTTCACCAAGCCTCAATCTATGCCGCTATATTACCTCCATACTGTGGGCAAATATATTATGCAATAACCTTTTATGTATCAACTAGTGATACGTATGGTATCACCATGTTTTTATATGGTAAAAAACTGCAGTATGCTGCTGTGCAGAGGGACCTGGGTGTCCTTGTGCACGAATCAGAAAATGTTAGTTTGAAGGTGCAGCAGGTAATTGAGAAGGCAAATGGAATATTATGGAAGAAGGATGGAGTTTAAAAATAGGGAAGTTATGCTGCAGCTGTATGGGGTGCTGGTAAGGCCACATTTAGAGTACTGTGTATAGTTTTGGCCTCCTTACTTGAGAATGTGCTGACACCGGAGGGGTTGTAGAGATTGACGAGGTGGATTTCAGAGTTGAGAGGATTGGCTTATGCGGAGAGATTGAGTAGACTGGGACTATACTCATTGGAATATAGAAGAATGAGGGAGCATCTTATAGAAAAATACAAAATTATGAAGGGAATAGATAAGATAGAAGTGGGGAGATTGTTAACACTGGTAGGTGAAATTAGAACTAGGGGACATAACCTCAAAATAAGGGGGAGAGCAGATTTAGGACTGAGTGAAGGAATAATTCCTTGACCCAAAGGGTTGTGAATCTATGGAATTCCCTGTACTGTGAAGCAGTTGAGGCCACCTTGTTGAATGTTTTTAAGGCAACGATAGATTTTGGAATAATAAAGGAATTAAGGGTTACTAGGAGTGGGCAGGGAAGTGAGTTGAGCCCACGAAAAGATCAGCCATGCTCTTATTGAATGGCAGAGCAGGCTCAAGGGGCCAGATGCTCCCTTTTTTTATGTTCTTACTGAATGTTTTCTGGAATTCCAAATGCACTATATCTACTGGTTCCCCTTTAACAACTCTTCTAGTTATTTCCTCAGAGTTCTGGTCTCCCAGTTATAGGAAGGATATTAAGCTGGAGAAGGTTCAGAAGAGATTTACGAGGATGTTGCTGGGTGTGGAAGGTGTGAGTTACAAAGAAAGGCTGGATAGGCTGGGACTTTTTCACTGGAACATAGGAGGATGAAGCGATCTTACACAAGTTTATATAATAATGAGGGGTATAGATAGGGTTAATGGTAGCTGCCTTTTCCCTAGGATGGGGGATTTCAAGATGAGGGGCACATTTTTAAGGTGAGAGGAGAGAAAAGATATGAGGAGCAGTTATTTTACACAGAGGGTGGTTCGCGTGTGGAATGACTTTCCTGAGGAAGTGGTGGATGTAGGTACAATCACAATGTTTAAAAGACATTTGGATAAATAAGTGAATAGTAAAGGTTTGGAGGGATATGGGCCAGGAGCAGGCAAGTGGGACTAGTTTAGTTTGGGATTGTGTTCAGCGTGAACTGGTTGGACCAAAGGGTCTGTTTCTATGCTGTGTGGCTGTATGATTCTATGACTCCAGTAAATTTGTCAATAATGATTTCCTTTTCACAAAACTATGTTGACACTGCTGGAGTTTGTTAAACTTTTCTAAATGTCTTGCTATTTCCTCCATAGTGATGGAGTCTAACATTTTCCTAAAGACAAATGTTAGGTTAACTGGTCTATAGTTTCCTGCCTTCTGTCTCTGTTCCTTCTTTGACAGGGGCTTCACATTAGTAGTTTCCCAAATTGCAGTATCCCTCCCAGAATCCAGTGAGTTCTGGAATATTTCGACCAGTGCTTTCCACTGTCTCTGCATTCATTTCCTTTAAACTTTAGGTGCAGACCATCAGGTCCTGGTGATTTGTCTGTCTTCAGTTCCATTAAATGGTCAAATACTTTCTCTCCCATGGTAGAAACTGTTACAAGATCTTTCCTCCCATTAACAACTTGCTTATCTGTCACCTTTGGGATGTTTGTAGTATCCTTCAGTGTGACGTGTGATGCAAAATATTGGTTTAAAGAATCTGCCATTTGCCTGTTGAGAATTATTCAGTCAAGTCCTCAAAGGGTCCCATGATCACTTTAGCTACCCTTTTCGTATACCTGCAGATGCACTAGCTGTTTGTGTTTATATATAAATGTATTGCCAATTTATGTTCACAATCAATTTTCTCCCATGTTTTTGTTAGCATCCTAATCATCAGCTGCTGGTTCCTAAAAGAAACAAATTACCAGTCCTTGCCCTGCCACCAGCTCTTTCTACTTTGCCCTCATTTTGACTGCCTTTGTTAACCACGGGGGTCCTGGGGGTGTTCATCTTCTTGTTGAGCCCTTTTTTTCCTGACTGGAATAAATTTTTGCTGAGATATTATGAACTAGCTACTAAAATGTCAGCCACTGTTCATCCACTGTGGTCTGTGGAAGCTGCATCATTGAGCATGTTCAAGACAGAAGTCGGTAGATTACTGGAAGCTAAAGACATCAAAAGATATTGGGAAAACTGGAAGCGTGGAAATGAAGTAGATGATAGGCCAAGATCAAACTGGTGCAACAGGCTTGATGGGCTGAATGTCCTATATCTGTTTATATGTCTTACGTTCCTATTAATACCAAAAAAACTGTAGATCTTGCTTATACAGTAACAACTATTCTGCAGATTCCAGTGGCAAATATTAAAAATACCAAAGTAAATAGATCAATGAACAGACTATGTTAAAACCCAACACAAAATTCACTACATTCATAAGTAAAAATATCTTCATAGGCCGTTGAGCTATAAGTAGTTGTTATTTTGCTTTCCTTCTATTTTCTTTAGCGCCCAGATAGTTTGAAAGATACAATTTTTATGCTGATAACCCATCAACCAAAATGTCACTAACAAATAATAACTGCATACTGGTCTCACTTGGACCTGTAATTTCTATGAATAGTTAAAAGAAATCAGTGGGCCACCCCATAAATTCATCATCCATGTTACCCATCTTCATATCTAGTCGATTTGCAGATTGAAATCACCCATGAAAATTGTTGTACCCTTCTTAAACACCACTGTTGTTTCCTGATTTATACTTTGTCCTACACCGATGTAAATGTTTGGGTGCATGTAGATGACTGCCACCTGCGATTTCTTTTCCTTGCTGTTCCTTTTTTCCACCTAAACTGATGTCACATCAGTATCTAAAGCACCTGCATCGCTACCCAGCACTGCACAGCTAACCTTCTTTATTAACAACGCTGTCCACCTCCTGTCCTTCTTTTTGTTTATTTTTCCAGAACGTCGAATATCCTCAATAGTAAGTTTCCAGCCTTCTTCATCTTGCGCCCATGTCTCTGAATAGCTGTCACGTCATATTCATTTATTTCTATTTATGCTGTCAACTCATCTATCTTGTTACAAATATTGTGTGCATTCAGCTAAAGAGTCTGTTGCTTAGACATTTTAATGTAATTTATTTACTCTGGCTGTAATTTATGCTGCACTCTTCTGTTTTAAGTTTTCTGCTCCTTCCTGATATTATCATCCACCTTTTTGCTACTCTGCACCTCAGCAGTCTTCTTTCTTTTTGGCTTTTAAACTTCTTTTCAATTGAACACATCTCCCATTAATTATTTCAACCAGTTTTCCACATCCCTAGCATGGGTTCAAATAAAGTTCATCCCCACAGACCAGCTCTCCCTTTTCTTAATAACTGGTGTCAGTGTCCCATGACTCAGAACCTGTCTCTTTAACACGAGTCATTAAGCCATAAATTTACCTGTCTGATCTTATTTATTTGTACATAGTTCAGGTAGTAATCTTGAGATTATTACCTTTGCAGATCTGCTTTTTATTTAGCCTCCAGCTGTTCAGAATCCATCAGCAGAACCTCTTATCTAGATGTACCTATTTCATTGATATGTACATGGACCATGAAAACTAGGTTGTTCTTCTCCAGAGAACTGTTTTGTAACTATGGTACCAGCTGGGCAATACAGCTTTTAGGACTCGCTGCAGAAAACAGTATGTGTTCCCCGAGCTATGCTAACCCCTATAACTGTCACATTTCTCTTTTCATCCCCTACTTGAATGGCACTTTATACAATGGTCAGTTTTTTCATCTCTGCAGTCTGTGTCTTCATATACAGCAGGAGAAAGAACCTCATGCCTGTTTGAAAAGTGCACTGGCTGAGGCTCCTCCTAAATTTTGGATCCTAATACCTGCTTCAATGGCAGTCACACCCTCTGACCATGACCATGGACCAAATTTGATGCAATTACTAAAAGGGCCTGTGTGACTGTCTCTTGAAACAGTGTGTCCAGGTACCTCTTCCCTTTCCTGATGCATCCCAGTGTCAACAGCTTGGACTCCATCACATCAACTTTGAGGCAAAGTTCCTCAAGCAGCCAACTCTTGCTGTTGATGTGGTCACCATGTTTCATGCTGGCATCTACCAGCTCCCACATATAACCATCTCTATTCTAGTTAGTTAACTAATTTGAATGTTAAGTATTTAAAAGGTTAATTTCTTAACTGTGCTCTTCAGCTGTAATAATATCTCCTAAATTAAACCACTTGGCCAATAAAAAGACAAATGGAAGAAAATCCTATCTGCTTCCCTCTGATGTCACGCTTCAGCTCCGATAGGTAAAAAGCAGGTTGAAGGGGCTCTCTGTTGCCAGTTTTTTTTTTTAATCTCCCACCATCACTACTGTTCTCGCACAAGTCCAGTCTTTGATATCAAATGGAATATGATCATAAAAGCCTGCAGGAATTCTCACATTCATGTTCATAGGAATGGTGCTGTGAAATTTGATGCATAACCTCCTTCTTCACTGGTGGCTTACAAGCAGCTCTCATCAATGTTTCTTGCCCTTCTCCATTTCAGCATTAAGCACTATTGTCATCCTTGGTTCCATTGCATTTCAGATCAGAGTAAATTGTCCACCAGACTTTGGTATCTGGTATAAGATGATTGTGGTTTACTTTTTTTAGTAGCCTAATTTGTTACTTTATGAAAATAATTCAGTTTGAAATCATTCATTGGTTCTTGAATAAATTTAAAACAATGTAAAAAGAGCTGGGTATTTTCTGCCTTGTAGCAGGATAACATTGCAATTTAGGTTTAAAATGTACTATTGGCAATGGAACTGTGGTTGTTGATTCATTTCACTCCAATGGTTTTAATTTGGGAATTCTACTTTTTCTAGATTGATCGCACAGAGAGAGTTAACAACTGTCTCTGTCCAAAGTTTGCAAAGAAGTTCCTGATAGATTACTGCTTTGAGCAGGTCCAGAAACTGAAGTTTGGAGTTTACGATATAGATAATAGAACGATTGATTTGAGTGACGATGACTTCTTGGGAGAGCTTGAATGTACTCTGGGACAGGTAAATACAAATAAAACCTTTAAGATTTTGTTGCCATACTTTGGGGACTTCTTTTTATGACACTGAATTACAATATATAAACCTTAGGTTATTTCTGTTACATTCAGCATATTGTTTTTGTTTATTGGATGTGGGCATTGCTGGCTCGACCAGCATTTATTGCCCATTTTTAATTGCTCAGAGGTCAGTTAAAAGTTAGCTGTATTGCTGAGAGTCTGGATTCAAATGTAAGCCAAGCCTTGTAAGATCTACTTCTCTAAGAGGCTTTAGTGAACTAGATAGGTTTTTCCAGTTAGCAATGATTGTATTAGGCTCGCTTTTTTATTCCATATTCCTGAGTTCAAATTTCACCATACATCGTGGTGGGAATCAAACCCATGTCTCTAGAACATTAGCCTGGTATGTTACATTACCACGGCTTCCCCCAGTGCTTGAACTACCCTTTTAAATTAATGAAATATGCACAATTTTGGCCCAGATTTTGAGAGAATATTCAGTTGAGGCTTTTAACATTCTGAAGGGGTTTGAGAGAATGAATAGGGGAAAAACTACTTCACTCTTCTTTTGTTTGAGATCAGTAGTAAGCATTCTCCAAGGAAGCTGCTCCACAATGATCTGGTGATCTGTGGTGCAGACCTTTCCTCTTGGGGTTTGAGTGAAGATTTGTAGCTCGGGTGCTGGTTGTAGATGTTGGTGTGTTCGCCAAGCTGGGAAGTTTGATATCTGCTATCAAATCTCCCAGCTCGGCGAACAGGCCAACATCTACAGACCTTTGCTTTACCAGTAGCAATTTCAACCTGGTGCCAAGTTTATAGTTGTATAGGGGCAGTGTTGTCAGCAAGCAGGGTAAGCAACCCATTATCATGAGTTCTTAGAAACTAGGAAATTAAATGCACTGAATGTCTTCACTTTTAATTTTAAAATTTAAGATAAGGAGATAAATGATTATGAACTACCACAGAAGCTAAAATATTATTTAAATATGACTAAAATTTGTGCATATATTGAATGGAATGTATTTTCTTAAGGAAGAAATTTGACATTGTTTAAAATTTGTGCAATGTATTTCAGGCTAGCAAGAGTATTTAGCATTAGTTAATGACACTTGAATGCTTTTACAAACCCAGTTACATCTCACCAAACATGGCATAGCCTTTTTTAAAGCCCTGTTTCTATTCTCAGTGGGTACCTCAACTGTGCACCCTTGGAAAAGCATGGAATCACTGACAGGAATTTCTGAAATTCCAGTTTATTCTGCTTATGTGCAGTCGTATGAAATTACAGTAATTTTTTTGAGAGTAATGTTGCTGCTGGCATGAAATTATTTTGTACAGTGCATATTGCAGTGTCAGTCTTACAGCTACCAAAACTCTCTTTGGCAAAGCAATTTGCTTATGCATTGCACAGTGGAGTGAAAACCAAGTGTAATCTTCAGATGAAGTAGTGTTAGAGCGTGGGGACAACTGGTTCAAAATGGTCCAGTGCACTTCAGTTAAAGTTTTAAAATTTGAGCTTTAAATATTTCCCTTATGAATTCCTACATCTACATTTGTAATGGAAATTGCCTATTTAATCTTGTCATACTGGAACTATCACTTCCTGTTCTTTGTGGAACATCAGTACTTCCAGCAGAATAATAACCAAGTTACAGCACAAGAAATTCAGAGAGGCATCTTTCAGTGTATATATAAGGACATAACAATATGTAGTGGCAAAATAGGCTTGGAGCATGAAGATGAAAGTTTTTTGATATTAATAAGAAAATCATGTTCTGTTATTTTACTTAGTTTCATTATGAAACTTTTGATGAACGATGCATCATGCAGTAACAGTCTGCTGTCTAAAGACAGCTGACAATTTTTAAATTCCTACAATGATTTCCCACTTGTCCATTGGATTTTGAAGTTGACGTACACAATTTCATTACGCAGTCTTTGTTTTTTTCTTGTTTGTTTATTTGTCTTATTTATTTTTGTATGTTCTGCCTTGATCTCAACAATGCAACACATGAATAAATGAAATCAGAGTTGAAGTAGTATTCTACTCTTTAGACTATGCAGTTGTATAATGCACAGTATGTTCAGATTTAAGTGTGAAGAAACATTAGCATTTCTGCTCATTGATTTCTTTATTTGTGCCTCTGGCAGTTGTTTCTGTTTGAAACTGAGCCCTATAATTAAGTAATTTTGACAGATTGTATCCAGCAAAAAACTGACCAGACCTCTTGTGCTGCGAAATAGAAGACCAGCAGGAAAAGGAACTATCACGGTACAGAGTTGAATTTTTTTTTTTTCTTATTTAGTTGTTTGATGTGCAATTGTAGCTGCATTTGCCAATGTAGTTTTACTATTATGCCAACAACTTTAGGAAAAGTAACAAGTGAATCCTAGAAATTATCTTCAACACTTTTTTTCTTTTATTCTTCTGTCCGCTGAAAGTAGTATCTTGTGCTGGAGTTCTCATACCTTGCCCAGATAACCTCACGTGCCTGAGTTTAGGCGTTAGCGTCCCAGATGGTGTTGCCGGAAGTGTTCCTCTTGTCCCAGGGTAGGGGCTTATTTTGTTTGGGGTTGAGTTCTGAACAATTTTCCTGCTCTGAATAGCTTGAAGTATACAGTCCTTGTAATGTACAAATGGCCTTACGCATGCTAGAATAATGAATGGTTGCCAGCCAGGGGAATTGAACAATTAGGATGGGTAAGGAAGAAGATGTATTTTTGAAGCTCAGCTAATTTAAACAAGACATTAAGGTTTTGCACATATTCCTCTCCCCTCCCTTGTCCGCCTTCCGCAGGGACCATTTTCTCCAGGAATGGACCTCCCTGGTCCATTATTCCTTCACCCCCAACACCTCCCCACTCCCCTACGGCACCTTCCCCTGTAACCGGCGAAGGTGCAACACCTGCACGTTTACCTCCTCCCTCCCCAGTATCCAAGGGCCCAAACATACCTTCCAGGTAAGCAACACTTCACCTGCACTTCCCAGAATCTAGTCTATTGCATTCGCTGCTCACAATGTGGTTTCCTCTATAGGGGAAACGAAATGTAGACTTGGCGACCGCTTCACAGAACATCTACGTTCTGCTCGCAGAAAAGACCCTGAACTACCTGTTGCCTGCCACTTCAATGCACCACCCTAATCCCTGACTAACATCTCTGTCTCTGGCTTGCTGCAGTGTTCCAGTGAAGCCCAACGCAAGCTGGAGGAACAACATCTCATATTCCACTTGGGAACCCTACAGCCCTCCGAACTCCATATTGAGTTCAATAATTTTAGGGCCTAAACTCTCCCATGTCCCAGCCCCCCCACCCCACACACCAGGCCTTGTTACCACATAGCCTGCCACTACACACCCCCTGTTGTTAGTCACTAACAGTCCCCATTTAACAACTGTTCACCCTCCCAGCCTTATCGTTAGCAACTCCTTTGTCTGTCCAACTGTCTCTCTCTCTCTCTTTGGGTTCTATCCTATCGTTTACTCCCTCCCCCGCCCACCTCCCTATTTTCTGCATATAAACTGACGTTTTCCCAGTCACCATCGGTTCTGAGGAAGGGCCACTGGACCCGAAACGTTAACTCTGTTTTCTCCTTCACGGATGCTGCCAGACCTGCTGAGCTTTTCCAGCAACTTTGTTTTTGTTCATGGTTTTGCACATTCTTATTCAGCTGGAGTTGGTGGTTAGGGAAGGAGATGGAGCCAGTGGTAAGGAAATGCCTCTTCATTACTGGCATATTTAATTTTAGTTGCCTTTGAACCTAAAGATTGGTGAATAGCTTGCCATCTGGGATAATTGGTTAGACATTTAAATATACTTGTCTGACTCATAAAAAGCAAATTTTCTTTTAAATCATTCACAGGATGAGGACATTGCTGGCTAGGCAGCATTTATTGCCCATCCATAATTTCCCAGAAGGCAATTAAGAGTCAACCACATTGCTGTGAGTCTAGAGTCACACGTAGGCCAGACTAGGTGAGGATGGCAGATTTCCTTCCCTGACATTGTGAACCAGATGGGTTTTTTCCAACAAACAATCGACAATGGTCTCATGGTCATCAGTAGATACCTAATTCCAGATTTTTAAAAAATTGAATTCAAATTCTTCCACCTGCTACAGCGGTATTTGAACCCAAGTCCCCAGAACATTAGCTGAGTTTCTGGATTAATAGTCTAGTGACAATACCACTAGGCCATCACCTCCCCCTTATCTGGTTTCTTTATTAGTTAGAATCCTTTTCTGTAACTTACCCGAAGTTGAGTGATTTGTATCTGAACAACAAGGAAAGGAGCTCCAAACTGAAGAATGGGAAAAGCTCAATGTGGCTTAGAAACACGGTCATGCAGCAGCATTTTTTGGGTACCTAATGCCCAAAATAGAGGGCAGGAGCTACCTGTGCACATCTAGACTATATTAGATGATGGCACAATAGGTTCTCTTACCCATGTCAGAGGTTTGTTGTCCATACCTTATCATCCTTGAATTGATCGGCTTAATAGGCTATTTCAGAGGGCAGTTAAATGAATGACTTTATTGTCACGTATATCTAGAGAGATACAGTGAAAAGTGTTTTAACACCACAATCTGTTGCCATTTTGAGTTACAAGAAGAATGAAAAGAAAGTACATCAGTCGGGGTCCCAAACACAGCTCCAGGGATTCGGAAAGGAATCTAGGTACAGCAACGACGATACTAATGCAGATGCCCAAGGGGTCCCTGGCTGTGCATGCCGCTGCCACACCACCACCCACCATGTGTCACCGCTCCAGGCACTGACTGTCTCTGCTCCAGGCCTACCATAGCCAGGAGTCTGTGCTCCACTTCTGCCGCAGCCAGTTACTTGCTGCCACTGCCAAGAGCCTGGGCTCTGGGCCTACTGAAGCCTGGAGTACCTGCTGTGAGCACTGACACTGTTGCAGACACTGTCAAGAGTCCAGGCTCCAAGCCTACTCCAGCCAGGAGTCACCGCCCTGGGCACTGACACTGCCACAGCCGATGCCCCACTGCCGCAAGCCCACTTACTGGGCACTGCAGCATTACAGCCGCCGCCCTGACATTGCTGTGGAGCTTGAGTCACAAGTAGGCCAGACTGGAAAGTATGGTAGATTTTCTTCCCTAAAAAAAGACATTATTGAACCGAATGGGTTTAACAATAAATGATAGTAGTTTCATTACTGAGTCTGTGGCCACAATTTCCCCTTCCCGAAGGTGATAAGAGGTGTGACAAAAGGGAAAATCTCTGGGCAAGTTGGCCCTGAAAAGATTCTAGCCTCAATTTTCCACCTCACCAACTAAGGGTAGGGCAAGATGATCCACGAGGGATTTTCTCAGTTTGGCAGCAATCAAGGACCTGAAGTGATTAATTAGCTGCCTCCGCTTACACTTCCCGATTGCCTCCAGATCCACGGTGTATCATCTCTGGAATAGCCGATAATTTCTCTTTCAGAGACTGTGTGGG